CGATATTGTTACGTTGCCGAAGCATCAATAAGCCGAACTTTACGATACGTAAGCTGTACAAATAAATCATTATTGCACGGAATCTTTGTCTCGTGTTTCTCGACACTCGGAGTCCCAACTCCTAAGACGAGCCGAACCCTTGGACCATCCCCAAATTCCCGTTGTACCCGGAGAGGCACAACAAAAGCATTTGTTCAATTTCGCTAATATAATCTAACTTTGCTCAATACGATTAAAAGAAATCACTTCTCTTCCTTGCACTATTCTGCGTTAATAATTTCACTTTATCACTTTTATAAAAATATACACGAAAAAAATTAATTATTTCTATTTTTTACAGATATTTACATTATTTTGGATCGGACGACAAGTTGCAGTCACACACTGTAGACTGCAGAAATATGAACAACTGTGCTATCCGGCTACCGAGCGATAAGGACAAGTGGCTCGCGTTCAACAACTACAACCGGAAAGAGCGGCTTCCTTTTGTCGTATACGCCGACTTGGAATGTGTGCTGACAAAGACGGAGAAGAAGGAAGAAGGAAAAAATCTTTATCAACATCATCAAGTATTTAGCATAGCTTATTACATACATTGTTCGTATGACGAATCGTTATCCGCGTATCATTCTGGCCGCAGTACCGATTGCGTTTCGTGGTTCGTGGAAAAATTAAAAAAATTAGCGCAACGCGTAAAGACTATTTTAACCACGAATGTCCCTATGGTAAATTTAACGCGAGATGAGTGGGAAAAGTTTCACAGCGCAACACACTGTCACATTTGCGAGAAACTATTCGCGCAAGACGATACACGCGTACGCGATCATTGCCATCTGACTGGGCGGTACCGAAGTCCCGCGCATTCAAATTGTAATTTAAATTATAAAGAATCTTTTTGCATTCCCATAGTATTTCACAATTTATCCGATTACGATTCACATTTTATCATCGAGGAAATAACTATAGCGTTCGAAGGAAAAATCGAGTTACTTCCGATAACAAAAGAAAAATATATATCTTTTACAAAAAATGTAAAACTTGCAGACGATAAGAAACATATTAAATAGCGTTTCATCAATTCGTATAAATTTCTTAACCAGTCTCGACAAATTGGCATCGTTTCTAAATAATGATAAACTTCAAATTTTTAAATCGTAATTTCAAAATTTATCGACTGAAGAGTTTAATTTATTGACACGGAAAGACGTCTTTCCTTATGAATTGACTGTGTCGATAGGTTGCACGATACGTGTTTACCACAGCGCAAATCATTTTACAGTTCCTTGACTGGTGACACTGTATCCGAGAGCGTCTGGAGGCGGTTCTCCATTCGAACGCTAGGCGGGGCGACGCGTGGCGCCGGGCGTAGAGTCGCGGCCTGGTAATCGAGAGATTCCAGGTTCGATTCCGCTCGGGTCCCGTCCTTCCCACATGCCTCAAAAGAGGTTTTTCCGCAAATTATCCTATCAAACTCTATCCTTCCACTTCCCCATATGCCTCAAAAAGAGGTTTCGTATTATCTTATAAAATAATTTCTCCCAGAAACTTATACTCACTGATACTCACTATATATAACCTGTTGATGGCCAGAATTTGTGATCCACCCTTGATCACAAGAGGCCAATAAATTGAAAGAGAGAGAGAGAGAGAGAGAACGCTAGGCGAATATAGCGACTTGTATTTCAAAACTGGTGTTTTGTTATTAGCCGATATTTTTTAAAATTTCCGCGACAAATGTATCGAAAGTTATGGGCGCGACCCCGCATATTACTATACTCTTCCCGGATACATATGAGACGCCATGCTAAAACATACGAATATTATGTTCGAATTGCTTACAGACATTGACATAGTTATGTTTATCGAACGTAATATACGCGGTGGTCTGAGCTAATGTTCCAACAGGTACGCGCACGCTAATAACAAGTACATGCAGTCGTACGATCCATTGAAACCGTCATCGTATCTCATGTATTTTGATGTAAATAATTTGTACGGATGGGCAATGTGTCAACCATGTGTCCTATGCCGATTTTCGATGGGTCGACGACGTGTCCAATTTTGATGTATGAATGTAGCATGTACTTTGTAAGTTGTAAAGCAAGGTCCACCCTGCCTAACGGCGGGGAGGGTGCGGGAGGGGGGCCGAAGGGCCCCCTTGCACCCCCTCGTGTGTGTGTGTGTGTGTGCGCGCGCGCGCGCGTGCTTCCTGTCCGTACATGTACTTCGGTATATTTTAAACTTTTTTTGTTAATAACTTTTTTAACAAGCAACGAGCGACGATTAAATTAGAAGAAAAAGTTACTCAGAATTATGTCCTTAATAACATATATCAAGGTCAAGGTCATTGGGCTGGGTCCCCTTTTCGCTATATTTACCAAAAAAATGTATAGTATTTTTTATAAGAGCCGTCTTTGAAATATTCATTGCATGTAAATGTAGAGTCTCAAAGTATACGTTCAGATAAATATTACATACATATTCAGCATTCTTTCAGGACAGATAATTGTAGCTAATTCTCATTTGCGAATTTCTTCATATATTCATTATAAGATTAAAATCTTCAAAGTAGGCACTTGAACCACTATCCAAGTATTTTAGTGAACCACTGTTCAAGCGCATACTTCACTAAAAAACACTAAAAAACAAAGTTTTTAGCATCCAATACCTCATCGATTATTTAAAGTATTTTAATTAATGAATATTATGAATATTCATTGTAAATTTCTTTTAATGATAATTATATTTTTTAAAATATTTATAAAATAAAAATGTCCAAATTTGAACCTGAAATAATAATCTATAATCTTTAATTTCTCTTATAAGAAACGGGGATTACAAAAATACGTTCAACAAAAGAAATTTGTATTTAAACTGTATGAAATATGCCTAAGAAGCATTGGGATGAAACGCTTATTTTGGGAACATAAAATATGCCTTAAAAGTGTTGGGAAAATGTTTAATTTGAGGACATTTCCGTTAGGTATGTCGACGGTATAATTTAAGGACAATCTCCAATCAATGCCTTTGTTCAAAAAATTTCAAAGTATACAATGACTACAAAATTGCCAATATTTGTTTGTTTATTGCTCTATAAATAAAATTTCAAATTGTATGTTGTTTGTGAGGTGTCATAGTACTAATTAAACAAATAAAAGGAAGATGTCCCGAAATGTATATATACAGGGTGTCCTAGACCACCCGTACACCCTTTTTCTTTCAAAAACTAAGCATTTTAGAGAAAAACGTTTTCAACAAAAATTGTATGGTTTTGAGGGGAATATAAGATGGTGTCATTGGTTTGACCTTGGATGGCATCGTTAAGGTCAAGTCAAGGACACCTTTAATTTCTTAAATGGAATCCCCTATTTTTTATTGCATATTCTTATAGCCT